GCCATTTTCGTTCCTACCCTCACCTATGGTCATGAAGGATGGGTCATGACCGAAAGAACGAGATCACGGGTACAAGCGGCCGAGATGGGTTTTCTCCACAGGGTGGCTGGTGTCTCCCTTAGGGATAAGGTGAGAAGTTCAGTGTTCCGGGAGGGACTCGGAGTTGAACCGCTCCTCCTTCGCGTCGAAAGGAGCCAGTTGAGGTGGTTCGGGCACCTATTAAGGATGCCACCTGGGCGCCTCCCTAGGGAGGTGTTCCAGGCACGTCCAGCTGGGAAGAGACCAAGGGGTAGACCTAGAACCAGGTGGAGGGATTATATCTCTTCGCTGGCCTGGGAGCGCCTTGGGATCCCCCAGTCAGAGCTGGTTGATGTGGCCAGGGAAAAGAAAGTTTGGGGCTCTCTGCTGGAACTGCTACCTCCGCGACCCGACCACGGATAAGCGGGAGAAGATGGATGGATGGATGGAGTTAGTTATGCATTCATGAAAAGCAACACTGCTGTACTTCAGCTACACTGAAGAGGGCTTCCACCAAGACGAAGGGATTTCATCGCGGTGATTTCTGTAGCATTTGTTTCAGTATTTTCAAGCAAGATACCAACCTGGCTCTTGTGGATGGAGATGGCCCAGGCCAGTTTGAGTGGCAGCTGCTGTCGGCTCAGGTGGAGCCCTCCACCCGACTTAAACACCCAGCGCTCAAGCTTCAGCACCTCAGTGACGCCACACAGGAAATGCACACGTGGGAGTCCTGGGGAGACGGTGAATGAGTCAGTACATGGTTGGACAAAAACTGGAGCGACATAATCCATGGCATTAAACAGCCATTTGTCTTTTTTGCTTGCCGATACAACATTAAAATAAGTTAGTTTTCTATTAAATCCTCCAATGACTATCCTTCTTCTGCTATTCTATTGTCACTTAAGGGCATATTCTGGCTTTTGTAATTAATGAATCCCCATCCATAAATAAAACACTGACCATCTTTTCCATTCTCAAAGGCCACCACAACGCCCCGCGCTCCGTTCACCAGACCTCGAGCGACATCCAGGTTCTTTGTCAGCATGACCTTAAGGAGAAGAATCACCACATTAAAAAAGGCCTTTACTCAAATCAAGTGCTCCGTTGCTACTACGACACGTATAGAAAGTGCAGTGTTATATGTCACAATGCAGCAGATTGTGGAGAAGTTCACTCACCTGCGCTCCCACTTTGAGCTGGATCAGTCTGCTGACGGGGCTGTGAGCATCGATCGTCTTCACCAGGGCGGGGTCGCAGTCCAGCGCCTCAAACACACGCGCTGAACCTAAAAAAAAGGGAGATGGAGAGATTCATTTCACAGGCTAAAATATTGTTATTATTTAGAGGCAATTGTTTTATATTCATATATAATCGTTTTCCTTTTATTGTTAATATTCAGGCAGTTTTAAATAGAACTATGATGTGATGAAACTGAAAAACAGTGATGTAAAGAAATCAGAGTAAGAAACCAAGGAAATTGTTTAAGGATCATGACAAATGTTGGTGGTTCGCACTTCTGATATGCTACTGCTTACAAAATACAAGTTAAGCGGAACAGGATACAACAGAAAATAAGTGGCGTCTGGCTGAGACTCTAGGAAATGGCTTTCACAAGGTGCATCGACGCTAACAATTAGTTGGTTTCCACCTGGATCCAAGCCAAAAGGAAGTAGCGCCTGTTTCTAACTGAAAATAGAAAATCCAATCAGATAGAAGAAGTCAAACCTGGCAGCTGCTGGAGTTTGTTGTCGTTTGTGAGCTCCACGTCATCCTTGTGCGTGCACAGCCTAGTCGCCAGAATGCCGTCCTTCTCGATGCGATGGTAGGCGCTTTCCATCAGCTTAGCAGTGACTTCCTCCGTCACCCTGAATGGTGTTAATTAAGACGGAACTTTTCCTTTAGTAAAGCCATTTTCTTTGCAGCTCAGCACAAATGTTCTGTAGAATACAAAATGACCTGCTGTGCCCGAAAGGCCTTTAACAGCTAAACATGCATTTATGTAACACATAACTACACACATTATCTTGTACATGCATTGGGATCACATTTGCTCTATAGAAAGATACACATTTAGAATGAAATCGGGGGAGAAGGAGCAGTGGCCATTCATTTACCTGCCCACTCTCACTTTCTGCAGGAGGGAGATGAATGACTGGTCAGTTTGCCTCCGCACCTCCATCAGCTCCATGTTGACCTGGATCACCTTACGCCAACTCCTGGCCTGAAGGAGCAGAAAGGGTCTTTTTAAAAAAAAAAAACATCCATAAATTATCCTGATGAATAGTGTGTGGAACTGTTGTGACTCATGGCAACAGAATGAATCACTCCGTAAAGAAGTGACTTGCATGGAGAAGTGCAACATTTTGCTTCGATGGTTTAACAGAAAGAAAATGGCCAACTGTTTCAAAATTGATAAATTTTCAGGGTTTTTCATTTGAAACGGCAAAAATTGCAGTCTCATGCACTCAAATATGGATATGTTCAGCTTTTCTCTGGTTTATATCACATTGACATGTACCTTATGGTATTAGACTGAACAGGATATATTGAAAAGACATCCCCTTGAACTTTGAGAAGCTGGGGAGGACATTTTCACTTTATTATGATAAATTATGGTACGAATGATTCATAGATGGAAATAACACAATTACAAACGGTTACCCAATGTTTACTTTCATTTACATATTTAAAGCACATGAAATATTGAAAATCCCATTACCAAATACACCTAAAAAATATCATTAATATAAATCAGCTGAGAAAACTAACAATGTCAACATAATATTATATTTCTCTATTAAGAGCAAAAGGAGGATTTTGTTGTTGAAGCGCATTATATCACAAAACTGTTAAAAGGTTTTTACGTTTCAATGTAAATTGCCCAACCGCTCCAATCCCCTTCAGCTTCCTGATCGTGTTACCAAATCAATGACAAACAAAGAGAGCTCTAAGATCCACTACGGTCTGACCTGGAAGCAGAAGCTGGCCTTTTCCTTTCCCTTGGAAACAGGAGGCAGCTGCAGGAAGTCGCCACAGATGATCAGCTGGATGCCTCCAAACGGTGCGGTCGACCTCCTCACCGACCTATTAGAGCGCAGAGAGAAGAAGTTGAAGATGACTTTTGTGATTATATTTTTTACATGGCTGCAGAATTGTCATCATTATTCCTCATCAGATTGCCTTTAAATTCATAAAAAATCTGCAATGCGTCACACAATATAACGCACATCCGAGCTTCAATAAAATAGGAAATTGATTCTAACCAAACCCAAATACTGTCACACGTAAGAAATTGGAATCAACCCTGGATGTGTTAAAAATGGTCCTGCTTGAATGATGTGCTCAAACACCATCAGTGAAACTCTGGGGAACACTTCACTGTGAATGAATATTCAAGAGGAAATGTGAGTCTATGTGTAACATTTAAAATGTTCCCAGTGTGCATTTAAAAACTGAATTTTACATATTGCAAAAACATTGCAGTAGAATTTGGTTATAACAAAGATTGAACATTTTAAAATTGTTTATTTAACTTTTCAATTTAGATTAAACTCTTAAATCTTACATTTCAAAAAGTGGTTCCAGGTTTATGAAAAAGGTATGCCTTTACCCAACAGATGTCTGAAACCACAGGAACAGGATGTTAATCTGTATAATGAGTTGGTTGTGTTAAGATGTCAATAAGTATAACATCAGTTCTCTGGTTAGAGCTTAAAAGGAATCATTAGCACAGGAAAAAGAGATATCAAATACTTTCAGGAAAGGGTTTGAATAAAATAAGCAATCTAGGATTAATGTCTCAAAATAACCTACTGTTAATCCCATTGTCTTTTAACACAAATATGTAAAGCTATGTAAGCTTTAACAGCCGCAAACACCTTAAAAACATACACTCACCGGCCACTTTATTAAGTACACCTTGCTAGTACGGGGTTGGACGCAATTGTACCTTCAGAGCTGCCTTAATTCCTCGTGGCATAGACTCAACAAGGTGCTGGAAACATTCCTCAGATTTTGGTCCATATTGAAATGATGGCATCACGCAGTTGCTGTAAATTTGTCGGTGGTTATTGGCGTTACTGTTGCCTCTCTATCATCTTGAACCAGTCTGGTCAATCTCCTCTGACCTCTTCGCCCAGAGAAGCCACTCACTGGATATTTTCTCTTTTTCTGAACATTCTCTGTAAAGCCTCAATGCAGTGAGTCGCTGCCATGTGATTGGCTGATTAGGTATTTGCAGTTGTTCAGGTGTACCTAATAAAGTGGCCAGTGAGTACTGTAGCATAACAAGGTGATATTTTTCAGACTGCTGCCTCACCTTGCCACAGACTCGAGCTTATCAAAGAACTGGGCCTCCACCATGGAGACCTCGTCGATGATGAGGTGCCGACAGGAGGTCCAGTGCTGCAGCACCCCCGGCCTCTGGGCCAACTCGATGCACTGCTCCAGAGGGGCCGAGCCAGAACCAATCCCTGAGAGCGCCCGAGGACAGGAGGGACAGATGGTCAGAGGGGACACAAATTACTCGACACCTACGCAAATACTCAATTCATACCCTCTGCTTTTTATTGACATTTAATCAAAAACATCAGAGACTCCTTCTGCTTGATTACATTAAAGATTCATAATCACCCAAAGGCGTCAGCAAGGTACAGAAGACACCATAAGTGAGTTTATGAAGGTTTGACATATTTTAATTTGTTTCTATAGTACTTTAGTTTTGACTGAAAATTCTATCTAGATTTGTTTAGTTAGTTTTCCGAGAGGGTTTTCAAGTCGTTTCAGTTTTTCGGAGAGGTTTAGTTTTTATTTATATTGTTTGCAAGTGTAAGGTCTTTCATCTCATAATTGTGAAGATAGTACCTCAGGGTTCATACGCTTTTTCCCCAATGATTATCAATGACTTCTCCATGACCTTTACCTAATTTTCCATGACCAAAAACATTACTCTTTCTCAGCGGTACTACTGAAAATGGTTTATTTTAACATGGAACAGGAAAATAAGGTCTACATATGAAACATGTTGTGCCTATCTAAAACGAATCAAATGGTAGGCTTACTAGCTTCTACAGGCTAAAGCAACTAAAATCTCTCACCAGCAAAAATACCTCGACAGTTAAATTACATTTTATT